AAACAATTCCGCCCTCCCTACGATCCATGAGCCATCACAGCAGGAACATAGAGTGATCTCCCTTCCTCTGACCTTTATGGCTGCCGACGAGTGCGGAGGTGTCTGAGTGCTTTCCATTACTCCTTCTCTTTGTACTGCTATTGTTGTTTGATTATATTGTAACTCCCTTAGTCTGTAAACCTATCTCCCAACAAGTATTGGCATAGGTTTATTTTGACCGTTTTTTCTGGCTGTGTTTTCCTCCACTTGTTTGAGTGCGTGACCACATGTCCTGTCATTTGGATTTCCATGAAGTTGGAATTTGTTTTCTTGCTGCTTTGTCGGCCGTTTTGTACGACCGTTTCTTTTTGCAGTGCAGTCTTGCTACTTACGGTAGGCTTTGTACTCTTGTTTGTAGTGTTTTGATCGTTGTCCTTGTTTTTCATTGTTACGATTTTTTTCTGTTTCGATGATGGATAGTTCTGGTTTACGTCGGGGGTCAGCGTATGGGTGTTCCCATTTCTATGGAGAATGGGACCCCCATGATGCCTGTCCCCTTTGCCGACCTTGCAGCCAGTGAACTTTGTTTGCACACAGTGTCTGCTGCCAAGGCTCCAATGCCTGTCCGGCAAACTTCCCGGCGGAAGGGGGATACGTCCTCTTCTTCTGGTAGGGGAAGTAAGCTTTTTAAGTCCTTCTCCGGTTCTGAACCGGTGGGTGTTTTAGGCATTCCTGCCGGGGGTGCTCTCGTTCCGTAGAGCTCCACCCTTGAGCAGGCACCCCTGTCCAGATGCGCCCTGGAGTAGGGTGGGATCCTGACCCTGACTCGGTGCTGTCGAGGGTCGAATTGGCCGGTAGCTCGTTCAATGATTCCTGTGTGCCAGGTTGTGTTGTTGGTGGGGGCCCCCTTGACTCCGGACCTGTACTTTCGAGTACTTTCAACCAAGAGGTTGGGTTTTCAGGCCAGGCGTCCAGTTTCAAGTTCTAGGACCACAGATTTCTTGTCAGGGATGTCGTCTGTATCTACGAGGATTAGTGACGCGCAGTTCACTAATCCTTTAGTCAGTGTGGGGCCTGTCTTCCCGCCCTCACAGGTTGCTGGTTCTGGTCAGGACCGGTCCAGTCCAGAGTTCCCTTTGCAGGGGTACCCAGGGGGTTTCCTCCAAGAGGTTGAGTTTTCAGGCCAGGCGTCCGGTTTCCAGTTCTAGGACCACAGATTTCTTGTCAGGGTTGTCGTCTGTATCTACGGGGATTAGTGACGCGCAGTTCACTAATCCTTGAGTTAGTGCGGGGCCTGTCTTCCCGCCCTCACAGGTTGCTGGTTCTGGTCAGGACCGGTCCAGTCCAGAGTTCCCTTTGCAGGGGTACCAAGGGGGTTTCCCCCAAGAGGTTGGGTTTTCAGGCCAGGCGTCCGGTTTCCAGTTCTTTGGTCATGCCCAGCTCGCGGGACCATTCCCATTCCCTCAGGGGTTTAGGTTTAACTCTATGGGTTTTCCCTTATGGAATCCCTGGGGGTTGGTCTCTCCCTCTAGGAGACAGTTAAGCAGTTCGGAATCCCCCCAACGTTCTGCCTTGTTGGCCAGTTGACTCCTCCAGTGGCCCCTCTTCCTCCCACAGAGACTTTGGCCATTATCGACAAGGAGATGGGTTTTAAGGCATGGCAGAGGTAGACAATGTTATTCATCTTTTTCCTGGGTGCTCGGGAAAGGGGTGGGGGGTAGATAAGTAGATCTGAAGGATGCCTAATCCCATATCCCCATCAAGAAGTCGGCACGGAAGTTCCTCCGTTTCACGTGCAAACGCAGGGTCTTCCAATTCAGGGATATGTCCTTCGGGCTCACGACAGCTCCTTTGGTGTTCACCAAGTTGCTGCAGGTGGTCGTGGGATTCATTCACTCATGTGGAATAGATGTCAACATCTATTTTGACGACTCCCTTTTCATTTGGTGAGGGAATTGCTAGTGAAGGACACTCGTCTGGTCCTAAAAGTCTTGATCAGAGTCGGCTTCATTCCTTCCAGAGAGAAGTCAGAGGTTTCCCCATCTCAGGACTTCGTCTTCCAGGGGAACCATTTCAACACAGTTCGGGCTTAGCCCTTCTATCTCTGGAGAAGTTCGAGAAGGCAAGGGCTATAGCTCTGACCTTCATCGCTTGGTCCCATGTCCAGGTACGTTGATTCCTCAGTTTTCTGGGTTATCTCAACTCCCTGGCAGATGTGATCCCATTTGGGAGGCTTTACATTAGACCTCTCCAGATGTTCCTCCTGTCCAACTGGGCTCTGTCATCCATGAAGTGAGAGGCCTGGATTCCTATTACCCAGTCGGCCAGGGAGTTCGCTCGCTGGTGGACCATTCAGGAGAACGTTCTTCGTGGGGTGCCTCTGACCAACCCTGTCCCCTGTATGACCCTGTTGACGGTTGCGTCCATGCCCGAATGGGGAGCTTACCTCGACAGCCAATGCCGTTCGGGGGAGTGATCTGGCGAACAGATCTCGAGATGAGGGCTGTTCTTTTGACTCCTTTTGAGTCCTTTCTGGGTATCCTGCAGTCCAAAGTGATTTGTGTGGCTACCAACAACTCTACAGTTGTCGCGTATCTAAAGAGGCAAGGGGGCACCAGGTCTCGCGTCCTGTGTGCCCTCGCCATCCGCATCCTTCTTCTCTGCCAGGACATGCAGTTGACCATATCGGTCAAGCATCTTCCTGGCAGGCTGAATGTGTTGGTGGACATTCTCGCTGCAAGCTGGTGTTGTCGGAATGGCAGCTGTGTCCCTTGATTTTCAAGGGGATTTGTCAGGTGTGGGACGGACCTCTTATATATCTGTTTACGACCTCCCTGAACAACCAGCTGCCAACCTTCGTCTCTCCGGTCCCAGACCAAAAGGCTTGGGCTGTGGACGCCCTTTCTCTGGTCTGGGACAGGATGTATGCATATGCATTCCCTCCCTTCAATCTGGTGGGCTTTGGCCTCTGGACGTAGGAGGAGTGAGGTCCACGCCTTGTCGTCGCTCCCCTCTCGACTATGTTGGTCCAGAGGCCACGCTGCCATAACTCTCCTAACTGATCCTTCCTTTTAAAAGAAGCTTCCTGGGCCCTTCTCAATGGGTCCTCCTTTCAGGAGGTCATGTCTGCAGAATTCTGATGGGGCAGGGATACCTTTACAGACTTTTATCTGAGACCCCTAGCTTCCCACTCAGAAGGCCTGTATTCGTTGGGACCTCTGGTGGTGGCACAGTCAGTGGCTGTGCCTCCTCGTTAGTCCCAGGGCATGTCTTTCTGTACGGTGGCACGTGGGTACACCTGCTCTTACACTGGTACGTCCCTTCCTACTCTTTGGCAATCTGTTCTCCCTCCCTACTACTTTGGCTGTGCTGAATGGGTTGCCTGGCTTCTTGTCACCACTACGGTAAGACAAATTTGCATACTAAAGTTATGGTAATTATTACTGAAATGAAATTAAGGTTTTTTTTTATGTAAAACCAATTTTTATGAGCTAATACTTACCATAACTTTATGGAGTCCCACCCTATCCTCCCCTCTTCCTTATCTGCCTGGCTGCCCCTCTGTGGGGTGCTCCATCGGGCTATTAGAGGAAGGGAGATCACTCTATGTTCCTGCCATGATGGCTCATGGATCATAGGGAGGGCAGGATTGTTTGAATCTTTTGTTGTTGGGATACAAAGATGGGTGTAGGTACTGTATTCATACTAAAGTTATGCTAAGTATTACCTTAGTAAATATATATATTGTTAAATATATTTGTTTTCTCCATAAGTAAATATATCTATTGTTAAACATGTTTGTTTTCTCCATTAGTAAATATATCTATTGTTAAACATGTCTGTTTATTCAGTTATCTAAAATTCTTATTGTCTTCATTGATTACTAAGGGTAGCTTATGCTGAAAATGTGTTTCATTTTAATTTTGGAGGACAGAAGATCAGACTATCAGCCATAGAAAGGGAAGAATTCGAATTGTTTCAGGGAAGAACAGATTTGACAGGAGAGGTCAAAGTTCAACAAGTTCGAAGAGAGGTCAGCAGTCAAAGTCAAAAGTCAGATGTATGATACAAACAAGAAGCAGTGTTAGCATATTAGTAGAAGCATGAGATTTCAGTCAAGATAGTGAAAGGAAAGTGCAGTGATCTAAACTATCTGGCATTGCAAGTATACACAGCATTCTTAATCACCTGATTATGTTTCCTCAGCAACCACATAAACATTGTACCCTCAAATCCAATGTCCAGGGCAGTGTCATCTATGAAAGTGAAATCTCCTTGTATCAAATAGCCATAGTCCAAAACAACAGTGCTGCCATGTTTCCTGTCACTGCAGTGCCATCTATTGAGGAATTCGTGTTACCTTAAAACCATCACCTAGCAGTGCCACCTAATGAGGGTTTCTAGCATTGCTACTAAATGATAAAGCCTTTTGACACAAAACAGTAGAAAAAGTTCAGAAAAAGTACTAGTAATCTAAAACATCAACATTATCTGAGTAGAAAAGAGACATCCTGATCAGTGATACTGTGATTCTACAGAAAACTACAACCCGTAAAATCTGTACATTGTCTGTAAAAACATCCACAGAGATTTAACACGAGGAATAAAACTAATGACTAGACTAATACCCACAACAAAAGGAAACTAACAAAGGTTGATCTCTATACAAAAGATAAGTCTAAAACCTTTTTAATAAGCATTCAAATCGCAAAAATCATCAAAATTCAGGTAAATTAATATTCAAAGCACACAACATCAACAATAGATAAAAAAATTAAAAAGGGGAGAAAACCCAATGTTGTCAGTTCTTTAAAATGAAAACACACAATAAATAAAAATTGTAAAAATCAAATTCTTACTTTAAGTAAACACTAAACATTATTTGTTTGATAAGCAAACATTATTTAAAGAGTTAAAGGGGAGTTGCAGAAACAGCACAAAAACAAAACCACAACTCCTGAACAACAGCCAAGAAGTGCCAAAGGAAACCAAGCTGTGCCACCATAAGGGTTTGCACATGCTCAGTCTGGTGTCAAATTCTGTGTGGAGTCGAAGCTGTCAGACAAACTCCCGACAAGCTGTTTCCAGTATCGCAGTTTCTTACTCGTAGGCTTTGGTTGGTTGGGATTCGGTGTTTTCATTCCATTGCTGCGTAGAATTTCTAGAAGCTCGTAACGAAATGAAGAAATGTCTTGTTTAATTTCACTGACATCGTCCTCTGTGACCCCTTCTCCTCGCTCAGGGCCTCGCTGTTTTTGCATTATGTAACGCTTTATGAGGTCCCTCATCACAGCCTGTGATAGAACATAGACCAACAGCTGTTACATCAGAAATCATCACTGAAGGCAACTATATATTAATTTCCTGATTTTATAAACAAGATATAATAAGAAAAATATTTCATCAAAGGAAACATGACAGAGCTTTTCAAGTTGTATCAAGTGAAATTTTGCCATAGTAATTATCAAACAAGACATCATTGAAAAATTAGTTTGATTGCATAGAAAGTTATTACCAGTATTCTTTAGGAGTTGCCTCCCTTCCCTCACTGATCTACAAACTTACCTGATATCTTATTTCTCTCTCATTTATCTTCTTAACAATTTTCTGGAACAAAAATATTAAGATAACACATCAAATTGTGAAAAGTCTAGAATTAAAAGGTAAAGAAACTGTTGATTGATTTACTAATTTATATGCCAACATGCATATTAGAAGAAATAAATCACAAGCCTATCCGGCCTTATTCTTTATTTAGTACTGAGGAAGAATGTAGTCAAATTGTCACAAAGTTATTAAAAATAATACATTCTCGTAACAAGATCTATTAGTGTTTACACCAGTATAATTATGTGTATAAGTACACATTATCACTAATTTAGCCCTTACAGATTATCAATCTCTTATACAATAACATTATCACTAATTTAGCCCTTACAGAGTATCAATCTCTTATACAATAACATTATCACTAATTTAGCCCTTACAGAGTATCTCTTATACAATAACATTATCACTAATTTAGCCCTTACAGAGTATCAATCTCTTATACAATAACATTATCACTAATTTAGCCCTTACAGAGTAGAGATATCATGTTACTATAAATAGGTAGGGATATCATGTTACTATAAATAGGTAGCAGGGGTATCATGTTACTATAAATAGGTAGGGATATCATGTAACTATGAATAGGTAGGTATATCATGTTACTATAAATAGGTAAGGATGCTATGTTAATATCAATGGGTAGGGATATCATGTTACTAGAAATAGGTAGAAGGAATATTATATTACTATAAATAGGTAGTAGAGATATCATGTTACTATAAATAGGTAGCAGGGGTATCATGTTACTATAAATAGGTAGGGATATCATGTTACTATCAATAGGAAAGGATATCATGTTACTATAAATAGGTAAGGATAGTATGTTACTATCAATGGGTAGGGATATCATGTTACTAGAAATAGGTAGAAGGAATATTATATTACTATAAATAGGTAGGGATATCATGTAACTATAAATAGGTAGTAGGCATATCATGTTACTATCAATAGGTAGTAGGGATATCATGTTACTATCAATAGGTAGTAGGGATTTCATGTTACTATAAATAGGTAGTAGGGATATCATGTTACTATCAATAGGTAGTAGGGATTTCATGTTACTATAAATAGGTAGTAGGCATATCATGTTACTATAAATAGGTAGTAGGGATTTCATGTTACTATCAATAGGTAGTTATGTAATGTTACAATAAAAAGGTAGTATGGATATTATGTTACTATAAATAGGTAGGAATATCATGTTACTATTAAAAGGTAGGGATACCATGTTACTATAAATAGGTAGTAGGAATATCATGTTACTATAAATAGGTAGTAGGGATTTCATGTTACTATCAATAGGTAGTTATATAATGTTACAATAATAAGGTAGTATGGATATTATGTTACTATAAATAGGTAGGAATATCATGTTACTATTAAAAGGTAGGGATACCATGTTACTATAAATAGGTAGTAGGAATATCATGTTACTATAAATAGGTAGGGATATCATGTTACTATAAATAGGTAGTAGGGTAATAACGTTTATAGATGGCATAGTCACAATTTATATCTAAAGTTGATAATGCGGTAAAACATGAATAAATTAAGTAAATACATATCAGTATGTATCCAAATAAGAACTTACTGATATATTTTGGTATGAGTTGCTCATCATTGCAATAAGAAGATTTAGGAGGACAACTAGAGCTATCCAGCTGTAACTCCCAAACATCAGCTTCCCAATGAACTCTGTGAACTCGTGTGGCTCTTCCAACTCTGCATGCTCCAAATCTACCAGTCCATATATTGACCAGTATAGACTCTGTATGATCTCAAACAAACTGTAAGGTACAAAACAGACACACACATGAACTGATTGAACTAGTTAACTTCTATATATACTGTGTGGTGTAGTTATCTCCTATATAAACTGTGTGGTGTAGTTATCTCCTATATAAACTGTGTGGTGTAGTTATCTCCTATATAAACTGTGTGGTGTAGTTATCTCCTATATAAACTGTGTGGTGTAGTTATCTCCTATATAAACTGTGTGGTGTAGTTATCTCCTATATAAACTGTGTGGTGTAGTTAACGCCTATAAAAACTGTGTGGTGTAGTTAACTTCTATACAAACTGTGTGGTGTAGTTAACTCCTATATAAACTGTGTGGTGTAGTTATCTCTTATATAAACTGTGTGGTGTAGTTATCTCCTATATAAACTGTGTGGTGTAGTTAATGCCTATATAAACTGTGTGGTGTAGTTATCTCCTATATAAACTGTGTGGTGTAGTTAACGCCTATATAAACTGTGTGGTGTAGTTATCTCCTATATAAACTGTGTGGTGTAGTTATCTCCTATATAAACTGTGTGGTGTAGTTAATGCCTATATAAACTGTGTGGTGTAGTTATCTCCTATATAAACTGTGTGGTGTAGTTATCTCCTATATAAACTGTGTGGTGTAGTTATCTCCTATATAAACTGTGTGGTGTAGTTATCTCCTATATAAACTGTGTGGTGTAGTTATCTCCTATATAAACTGTGTGGTGTAGTTAATGCCTATATAAACTGTGTGGAGTAGTTAACGCCTATATAAACTGTGTGGTGTAGTTAACGCCTATATAAACTGTGTGGTGTAGTTAACTTCTATATAAACTGTGTGGTGTAGTTATCTCCTATATAAACTGTGTGGTGTAGTTATCTCCTATATGAACTGTGTGGTGTAGTTAACTCCTATATGAACTGTGTGGAGTAGTTAACGCCTATATACACTGTGTGGTGTAGTTAACTCCTATATAGACTGTGTGGTGTAGTTATCTCCTATATAAACTGTGTGGTGTAGTTAACTTCTATATAAACTGTATGGAGTAGTTATCTCCTATATAAACTGTGTGGTGTAGTTATCTCCTATATAAACTGTGTGGTGTAGTTATCTCCTATATAAACTGTGTGGAGTAGTTAACTCCTATATAAATTGTGTGGTGTAGTTAACTCCTATATAAACTGTGTGGTGTAGTTATCTCCTATATAAACTGTGTGGTGTAGTTATCTCCTATATAAACTGTGTGGTGTAGTTATCTCCTATATAAACTGTGTGGTGTAGTTAACTTCTATATAAAATGTGTGGTGTAGTTATCTCCTATATAAACTGTGTGGTGTAGTTATCTCCTATATAAACTGTGTGGTGTAGTTAACTTCTATATAAAATGTTTGGGATTCTTGACTCAAACATGAACTGTGAGTTTTTGACTTGTTTGTCTTTTTGTACAATCTTTGACATTGCATTTAGTAAATGCTGCCGGTGGAATTTTTTTCGCTCCTGAGATTTGCTGTAAGCTACATTCAACATTTCAGTACACACATGTTCTAGGAGCACCTCCCCTTATAGAATTTTTCATTTCTTGTGAACAATTTTAGTTTCCCTTAATTGCCTTCAAGGTTGTTGTCCCTCAGCATCACTAACGAGCCTTAGAAGGATGAAACAGCTGTATGATGTAGCATCACTAACGAGCCTTAGAAGGATGAAACAGCTGTATGATGTAGCATCACTAAGAGTCTAGAAGGACGAAACAGCTGTATGATGTAGCATCACTAACGAGCCTTAGAAGGATGAAACAGCTGTATGATGTAGCATCACTAACGAGCCTTAGAAGGATGAAACAGCTGTATGATGTAGCATCACTAACGAGCCTTAGAAGGATGAAACAGCTGTATGATGTAGCATCACTAACGAGCCTTAGAAGGATGAAACAGCTGTATGATGTAGCATCACTTTATATAAACAGCTGTATGATGTAGCATCACTAAGAGTCTAGAAGGACGAAACAGCTGTATGATGTAGCATCACTAAGAGTCTAGAAGGACGAAACAGCTGTATGATGTAGCATCACTGACGAGTCCTAGAAGGACGAAACAGCTGTATTGTAGCATCACTAACGAGCCTTAGAAGGATGAAACAGCTGTATGATGTAGCATCACTAACGAGCCTTAGAAGGATGAAACAGCTGTATGATGTAGCATCACTAACGAGCCTTAGAAGGATGAAACAGCTGTATGATGTAGCATCACTAACGAGCCTTAGAAGGATGAAACAGCTGTATGATGTAGCATCACTAACGAGCCTTAGAAGGATGAAACAGCTGTATGATGTAGCATCACTAACGAGCCTTAGAAGGATGAAACAGCTGTATGATGTAGCATCACTAACGAGCCTTAGAAGGATGAAACAGCTGTATGATGTAGCATCACTAACGAGCCTTAGAAGGATGAAACAGCTGTATGATGTAGCATCACTAACGAGCCTTAGAAGGATGAAACAGCTGTATGATGTAGCATCACTAACGAGCCTTAGAAGGATGAAACAGCTGTATGATGTAGCATCACTAACGAGCCTTAGAAGGATGAAACAGCTGTATGATAAGATTTTATTCATTTTTTATTTTATCCTATCTTATTCTTAATTTATATTAAAAAGTACAACACAGTATTCACTTGTGTGTCTTCAGTACTTACTTAGCAAAGCTTTTGTATCGCCTGTCACATGATGCCTTGACGTTGTAAAGCTTGCATTCCTTCTCCCGGAGTGTTGCATAGTACCAGTACAGGTGGTTTAGACCACAGGAGAAAGAAAAAAGCACCATCATATACACTATAGCAAACTTCATGATGTCTACAATCATGCGACCAAGGGAGATCTGAAGAGGCCCCAGGTGGGGGTTTACAGTGAACATGTAAATCAGTTTTAAAGAACTAAATATATTGGCTGCTGCAAACAAGGCCTCTGCAATCAGGTTAGGGTCGTATGCATTCCAGTCTTTTCTCTGGAGGTTGGCAGACTCTTTGCCCTCACTTTTTTCCTGTTGGACCTGAAGGAAATATATATCATCATCAAATCTTTAATAATGATACACATTGTAGAGAATTTGGATTCTCTCCATTATGTTGACACTAGTGATGTCTTATCAGAAAGGTTACAAGTCAATTAGTAATTATACAGTAGAAAATATACTAATATAATGGATGCAGGGATGCGTCTATATCAATATCAATAATTATACATAAAATTAAATCAATAGTCCATTCTCGTTATCGATTTGAAGCTAGCAAGATGGTTAAGTTGTAGTTTTAAACAATTCCATTAGTTGTCCAGATTAATCTCTTTATTGATTACTGCTTGTACTACCAAATCTGGTAAGTTGTTCCCCACATCATCAATACTGAGTTCCAATCAATATTTCAGGATATCCAACCTGCAGTATTTGAGGATCTGCGGAGTTGGTGTATAAGAACTACCTTACCTGTAGGTAAGTAATCACACGCAGTGTCAATGTAGTGATGTATAGAGAGTTGGTGTATAAGAACTACCTTACCTGTAGGTAAGTAATCACACACAATGTAGTGATGTATAGAGAGTTGGTGTATAAGAACTACCTGTAGGTAAGCTTACCTGTAGGTAAGCTTACCTGTAGGTAAGAGAGTAATCACACACAATGTAGTGATGTATAGAGAGTTGGTGTATAAGAACTACCTTACCTGTAGGTAAGTAATCACACGCAGTGTCAATGTAGTGATGTATAGAGAGTTGGTGTATAAGAACTACCTTACCTGTAGGTAAGTAATCACACACAGTGTCAATGTAGTGATGTATAGAGAGTTGGTGTATAAGAACTACCTTACCTGTAGGTAAGCTATCACACACAATGTAGTGATGTATAGAGAGTTGGTGTTTATAAGAACTACCTTACCTGTAGGTAAGTAATCACACACAGTGTCAATGTAGTGATGTATAGAGTTGGTGTATAAGACTTACCTTACCTGTAGGTAAGCTATCACACACAGTGTCAATGTAGTGATGTATAGAGAGTTGGTGTATAAGAACTACCTTACCTGTAGGTAAGCTATCACACACAATGTAGTGATGTATAGAGAGTTGGTGTATAAGACTTACCTTACCTGTAGGTAAGCTATCACACACAATGTAGTGATGTATAGAGAGTTGGTGTTTATAAGAACTACCTTACCTGTAGGTAAGTAATCACACACGATGTCAATGTAGTGATGTATAGAGAGTTGGTGTATAAGAACTACCTTACCTGTAGGTAAGCTATCACACACAATGTAGTGATGTATAAAGAGTTGGTGTATAAGACTTATCTCACCTGTAGGTAATAACAAAATAACTTACCTGTAGGTAAGCTATCACACGCAGTGTCAATGTAGCGATGTATAGAGAGTTTGTGACAAAGTCCAGAATGTTCCACATATCATGGACATATTCATGGGCACCCTCATCCCATAGCTGCTTCACCTCTGCCCACACCAGACCTGCCAGCATACACCAATTGATGAATTGAAATATGTATACAACTTCTTTGAGAACAAGAGGTCCAATAGGCCTGCACACCTGATGTTCATTGCTTTGTATAGGTAGATCTTTTCACCTCATTCACATTCAGAGTATTTTAGAATTAAAAAAAAATAATTTCAAGGTTTAAAAAAATTGACTCTCAAGACCTAAGGTCATGGTCATTTCTTTTCGCAAACTTTTTTCAGGCTTCTTCCTTGTAAACTACAGGCCAAAAACAAGATTCTACACCTAGTTTCTAGTAGGTATTGAGAAGTTGTTTAAAGACTTTTTCAAATTTGACCCCTGTGACCTTGAATATTGGTAAAGGTAAGTTCTTTTGTTCCAACTTTGTTTGCCTTTATCCTAGGAATCTTCCAGTCAGATATCATGACTCTAGGCCTTTTGGTTAATCATAGTTGACTTCTGTGATCTTAACTAAGGGTCAAATCTTCTAGTGCAAAATCATAATTCAAGTCCTTTTAGTTATTGAGATGACATTGTTTGAAGGGACATGTTGACATCTGATGACCAGACATACCACATCATAAGTTCACTTTGACCTTTAAGCCAGGTGAGCTAAAATCTTAACCAAGGCAGGTAATCCTATCTTTACAAAGCTTAATGTGGCTTGTTTATCACTTACTTTGTCTTTTTAAAATTTCTTTTTTCTAACAAAATTGAACGTAAAACAAACAACAGTAAGTATTGAATTTAAACAAGAAATGTTGATATGGCGTAAATGTCCTCACAACCCCTCACATACGGACTTGTATTGCAGATGGGACATCCAGGACTTAATCTACATCAATTACAAACATAGAACAATAAGTAATTGTAATGGCAGATTTGTTGATGGTGGTCTTCTAACATAATGGAAAGTAGTCTGCAAAACAAAGGAACAAAGGGCCAGATATGCAACCAAACTTGGACTTTTCAACCTGGCTTTAAACTACATCTGCATTTCTGAATGTTATTTCATATATTTTTCTATTCAATATTTAACAATATTGCACATACATATCTTACATAAGGGATTGGGACAAAAGGCTTACACCTCATAGCCACACTTCCAATTAAAAGTCAAATTCTCTAAACATAAGGTAAAAATGTCTGGAAAATTGTCCATATTCAAACTCTGTAAGCCCATAGTTAGATGCTACACACCAGGTTTGAAGTCAGTATCTCTGAACATATTGGAAAAAACCCTGGAAATTGTTTTGGGAATTGAGAATGCACAGACGAGCGCGAGACTGATTCCACTCCTCCCCTCCACATCTAATTATAGAGATACATCAAATCTGTCACTGAAAAAGTGGCTAACAGGAAGTTTCATGTTACATATAATCACAAGCTCAATCTATTTATTTTTTGTTAAAGTGTACAGAGAGTCTAAAATGTGTGGTAATGTCAGCTTCAAAATTCTCTCCCCTTCCTAACAAGAGTTGTATCTCTTTACCTGCCACATAGGCTAGGATCATCCACTCCACATTAGTAGCTGGAGCACCTCTCACCTCCTGGCTGATCTTGTCGATGTCAGACACTGAGTCCTCTTTGGATGACCAAGGGAAAGGGATTTCCACTCGCTGGGACACCAGTATAAGTAATACTGAAAAGGGAATTATTCAGTGAAAACCACAGACTGCTGACGCTGAAAGATCTATTCTTTACCCTATTCAAACTCTAAATTATTTCATAACTGATGTTTTTCTGACTAAAAACTGATTTGAATTCTTGATTGCCCTGACTGCCCAATGAATGTAGATGATGTATTATAAAAGTTGAATCTTAAATATTCTTAATCAATTATCAATACACTGATAAAACGCTATCTCAGAAATATTTAAACCACTGCCAAAAAATGTCGCAAGGCAAACTATTAATAGCAAAATGATGAGAAACCTTTAGCAAAAGCTAGTGTTTTATATTGTAATATGACTTAGTCCTCAGTGGTCAGATGCCAATGAAGTCTTTAATTCTCCTTAATCAATTTTTATGATGTACAATAATCAAAGAATACTTAGGCCACCTTAATACACACCTAAAAATGTCAGGTATGAAGCACTGTGGCATATAAACTTTATAAAAGGTTTACGGAGCAGTTTCCCTGGCCCACTCTTTGGTGCGACAAGGTAGAATACGGAGAGGAAAGGGAACATTATTCCAATGAGTGAGGTAACAAACAGACGGCGAATGATACTATGGCGACGGAATCCTGGCAAGCCCTTGGGATGAGCATAAAATTAGAGGAAAATCCAACTGGACATGTCAAAATAATTGATATATCATCTGTCTTCATACCTCATCTGTCATCAACTGGACATGTCAAAATAATTGATATATCATCTGTCTAGGCTTCATACCTCATCTGTCATCAACTGGACATGTCAAAATAATTGATATATCATCTGTCTAGGCTTCATACCTCACTCCTACATACATGATACAAAGAGTACCACTGCCTATCAGAATGGCCCAAAATTAATTGACACACATTAGTATTCATATTCATATGTAGGTCCATCCAAACCAGGGATGTGACTCTTCAGACTAGAACAATGATTAGGGGCCTTCCATGTTTGACATTATAGTGAACATCACCAGTACTAGAAATTAGGCGACAAAAAGTCTGACACATTTAAGGATAGGTAAACTTCTTCGATCAGTTGACTCCTGGTGAAATTCCTACCAAGATTGGTCCATAATGTCAAAATAAACTTGATAATCCTGATATTTGGTCAGCTGATTTCCGATCTTACTTCAACTCAAATAAAGTGTCACCTGAATTTTAAACCTATTGGCATTGCTTTTTGATTCAAATTTTGATTCAGGAATTGGAAAATGTTAACCAGTCAAAAAATAAACAAATTATTTACCATTTAAAATACAAATGAAAAAAAAGACTGACCTTGAGGTTTATGATGGTGACCTTGACAACTGGTCAGTTATTTTTCTTATCTCATTGATTTTGACCAAATATCCTTCACAATGTTATAACAAGATGTGAACAAGTTAACAAATACAAGCATTTGACATTGACCTTGAAATATGTTTATTGATCAAAACACCATGTAGTACATAAACAATTTTATCCCATTACATCACAAGTTGAATGATCCTGTTGGTTAATTACCTTTTTCTGGTTGAACTTAATGGCTAATTTCAGTCTGGACAGCCTTACTTTTTCCTCTGTCGGAGGTTCTGTCTGTTCAGGGGGAGTAACTCCATGATTACCAATGTCATGGTTTAAGATAATCTCTAGTTCCTTTGAGCCTCGAGTTTGCTCTAATAAATCAACAGCAAATTCTTTACACTTTTTTGCTAACTTTTCATAGTCCAGTTTGAATTCATTTTCAAGTTTGCTTAGTCTTTTCAATTCCCGACTTAACTCAAATGACGTAAGGATGGGATCTTTACTGGATAAAGCAATGAGGGACGGACTCGCTAGAGCACGGTATGCATTAATGCGGGATCGCGAGTGACGAAGGCTATCTTCATTACTGCCATGTAAACAGTTTTTACATATACATCGCACATCGTGGGGTTTTGGGATCCGATAGCCTCGGTCCAGCAAAAGTTTGATGATTTCATAATTGTCTCTATGTGCAGCAAGTATGATAGGTGTAATATCCGGAGTAAAGGAGCTGGAGGGCACAGACTGGTGGAGAGCCTGAAACAGAGGAAGATTATACTGTAATATAACACTGAGGTGGAGGAGGTAGAGGGCACAGACTGATGGAGAGCCTGAAACTGGAAGATTATACTGTAATATAACACTGAGGTGGAGGAGGTAGAGGGCACAGACTGATGGAGAGCCTGAAACTGGAAGATTATACTGTAATATAACACTGAGGTGGAGGAGGTAGAGGGCACAGACTGATGGAGAGCCTGAAACAGAGGAAGATTATACTGTAATATAACACTGAGGTGGAGGAGGTAGAGAGCACAGACTGATGGAGAGCCTGAAACAGAGGAAGATTATACTGTAATATAACACTGAGGTGGAGGAGGTAGAGGGCACAGACTGATGGAGAGCCTGAAACAGGAAGATTATACTGTAATATAACACTGCTGATTATATGGTGGAGGTGTGAGGTAAGGACAATGGGCACAGACTGATGGAGAGCCTGAAACAGGAAGATTATACTGTAATATAACACTGAGGTGGAGGAGGTAGAGGGCACAGACTGATGGAGAGCCTGAAACAGAGGAAGATTATACTGTAATATAACACTGAGGTGGAGGAGGTAGAGGGCACAGACTGATGGAGAGCCTGAAACAGGAAGATTATACTGTAATATAACACTGCTGATTATATGGTGATACCAGGATGATTGTGTGACACAGTGAGTTAACACACCTCTTCCCCTCCCACCCCTTTCTGTTTATGTTTAAGGACAATGGCTTGATTTTCTAGCAGGGGATACTGTAAAGGAGTAACCTGGCAACCAAGGGGAGGGGGAGGAGAGGGAGAGATATTAGAGAAGGTCCATCTGTAGTAGCTACATGTAGTTTATTTGTGGTCAACAGAAGAAAATGTCTGCAGCAGAGCTGAGGAGAAATTTCTTACACAGAGGGAACAACCACCTGTCTGGAGATAGGGCTGCAAACACAGCCGATCTTATCACTGCCATGTTTGTTTATAACTTATATCATTCTAATAAAGCTTATACAAACACATGAGATAATTAAGACAGAATCTGGAGGGAAGGCGGTTGAGAGTGTCCATTGACTACAAACCCAGAATCAGCTGTAAATATTCACCAGGTAGTCTGATAACATTTCTTCATGTAAACATGTAAATGTCAGTGTGTGGGAAGGTACTCCACATGGTGAACGCTCTTCTATCTAACACAACCAGACTCCACATGGTGAACGCTCTTCTATCTAACACAACCAGACTCCACATGGTGAACGCTCTTCTATCTAACACAACCAGACTCCACATGGTGAACGCTCTTCTATCTAACACAACCAGACTCCACATGGTGAACGCTCTTCTATCTAACACAACCAGACTCCACATGGTGAACGCTCTTCTATCTAACATAACCAGACTCCACATGGTGAACACTCTTCTATCTAACACAACCAGACTCCACATGGTGAACGCTCTTCTATCTAACACAACCAGACTCCACATGGTGAACGCTCTTCTATCTAACACAACCAGACTCCACATGGTGAACGCTCTTCTATCTAACACAACCAGACTCCACATGGTGAACGCTCTTCTATCTAACACAACCAGACTCCACATGGTGAACGCTCTTCTATCTAACACAACCAGACTCCACATGGTGAACGCTCTTCTATCTAACACAACCAGACTCCACATGGTGAACGCTCTTCTATCTAACACAACCAGACTCCACATGGTGAACGCTCTTCTATCTAACACAACCAGACTCCACATGGTGAACGCTCTTCTATCTAACACAACCAGACTCCACATGGTGAACACTCTTCTATCTAACACAACCAGACTCCACATGGTGAACATGGTGAACTCTTAACACAACCAGACTCCACATATCTAACACAACCAGACTCCACATGGTGAACGCTCTTCTATCTAACACAACCAGACTCCACATGGTGAACACTCTTCTATCTAACACAACCAGACTCCACATGGTGAACGCTCTTCTATCTAACACAACCAGACTCCACATGGTGAACGCTCTTCTATCTAACACAACCAGACTCCACATGGTGAACGCTCTTCTATCTAACACAACCAGACTCCACATGGTGAACGCTCTTCTATCTAACACAACCAGACTCCACATGGTGAACACTCTTCTATCTAACACAACCAGACTCCACATGGTGAACACTCTCCCATCTAACATAACCAGACTCCACATAGTGAACGCTCTCCCATCCAACACAACCAGACTCCACATGGTCCACGCTCTCCCATCTAACACAACCAGACTCCACATGGTGAACACTCTTCTATCTAACACAACCAGACTCCACATGGTGAACACTCTTCTATCTAACACAACCAGACTCCACATGGTGAACGCTCTTCTATCTAACACAACCAGACTCCACATGGTGAACACTCTTCTATCTAACACAACCAGACTCCACATGGTCCACGCTCTCCCATCTAACACAACCAGACTCCACATGGGGAACGCTCTTCTATCTAACACAACCAGACTCCACATGGTGAACGCTCTTCTATCTAACACAACCAGACTCCACATGGTGAACACTCTTCTATCTAACACAACCAGACTCCACATGGTGAACGCTCTCCTCTTCTATCTAACACAACCAGACTCCACATGGTGAACACTAACACAACCAGACTCCACATGGTGAACGCTCTTCTATCTAACACAACCAGACTCCACATGGTGAACGCTCTTCTATCTAACACAACCAGACTCCACATGGTGAACACTCTTCTATCTAACACAACCAGACTCCACATGGTGAACGCTCTTCTATCTAACACAACCAGACTCCACATGGTGAACGCTCTTCTATCTAACACAACCAGACTCCACATGGTGAACGCTCTTCTATCTAACACAACCAGACTCCACATGGTGAACGCTCTTCTATCTAACACAACCAGACTCCACATGGTGAACGCTCTTCTATCTAACACAACCAGACTCCAAATGGTGAACGAGTCTGGTGAACGCTCTTCTATCTAACACAACCAGACTCCACATGGTGTACACTCTCCCATCTAACACAACCAGACTCCACATGGTGAACGCTCTTCTATCTAACACAACCAGACTCCACATGGTGAACACTCTTCTATCTAACACAACCAGACTCCACATGGTGAACGCTCTTCTATCTAACACAACCAGACTCCACATGGTGAACACTCTTCTATCTAACACAACCAGACTCCACATGGTGAACGCTCTTCTATCTAACACAACCAGACTCCACATGGTGAACACTCTTCTATCTAACACAACCAGACTCCACATGGTGAACACTCTTCTATCTAACACAACCAGACTCCACATGGTGAACGCTCTCCCATCTAACATAACCAGACTCCACATGGTGAACGCTCTTCTATCTAACACAACCAGACTCCACAAGGTGTGAAGGCTCCCATCTAACACAACCAGACTCCACATGGTGAACGCTCTTCTATCTAACACAACCAGACTCCACATGGTGAACACTCTTCTATCTAACACAACCAGACTCCACATGGTGAACGCTCTCCCATCTAACACAACCAGACTCCACATGGTGAACACTCTCCCATCTAACACAACCAGACTCCACATGGTGTACACTCTCCCATCTAAGACAACCAGACTCCACATGGTGTACCCCTGTCCTGTCTAGCACAACCAGACTCCACATGGTGAACGCTCTCCCATGTAACACAACCAGACTCCACATGGTGAACACTCTCCCATGTAACACAACCAGACTCCACATGGTGAACACTCTCCCATCTAACATAACCAGACTCCACATGGTGAACATTTATTGGTTGCTACACTGTCTAACACATCCACTCCACAGAACATCTAACTAAAACCACTAGCAACACAATATTATTTGTCTTGTCTTCTTGGAATAAAGTTGATTCTACATGTCTGAGAAAGGGAGACTCATAGTCTCATTGTCTGGGGAAGGGTGAAATTTGGTATGGTTGTGTATTCTTTACAGTAGAGAACACCAGAGTAAAACTTACAGAGCTCCTTTATACTTTAAGCCTTACAGGACAGCTTCGGAGCTCCTCAATACAATGAGCCTTAAAGGACAGCTTACAAAGCTCCTAAATACAGAGACCTACAGTAAAACTTATATGGCTCCTTAATATACAGAGTACCTAAGTACAGGTTACAGAGCTCCTCTGTACATTGCACTTAACAGTACATCCTACAGAGCTGAATACATGGAGCCTTACAGTACAGCTTACAGAGCTGAATACATGGAGCCTTACAGTACAGCTTACAGAGCTCAATACATGGAGTCTTACAGTACAGCTTACAGAGCTGAATACATGGAGCCTTACAGTACAGCTTACAGAGCTGAATACATGGAGCCTTAAAGTACAGCTTACAGAGCTCAATAAATGGAGCCTTACAGTACAGCTTACAGAGCTGAATATATGGAGCCTTACAGTACAGCTTACAGAGCTCAATAAATGGAGCCTTACAGTACAGCTTACAGAGCTCAATAAATGGAGCCTTACAGTACAGCTTACAGAGCTGAATACATGGAGCCTTACAGTACAGCTTACAGAGCTCAATACATGGAGCCTTACAGTACAGCTTACAGAGCTCAATAAATGGAGCCTTACAGTACAGCTTACAGAGCTCAATAAATGGAGCCTTACAGTACAGCTTACAGAGCTCAATAAATGGAGCCTTACAGTACAGCTTACAGAGCACAATAAATGGAGCCTTACAGTACAGGTTACATAGCTCAATACATGGAGCCTTAGAGTACAGCTTACAGAGCTGAATACATGGAGCCTTACAGTACAGCTTACAGAGCTGAATACATGGAGCCTTACAGTACAGCTTACAGAGCTGAATACATGGAGCCTTACAGTACAGCTTACAGAGCTGAATACATGGAGCCTTACAGTACAGCTTACAGAGCTCAATACATGGAGCCTTACAGTACAGCTTACAGAGCTCAATACATGGAGCCTTA